GGCTTATAGGTACTTTAATATTAGACCTCAAAAGTGATTTTATCTTAGTTCTGCCTAGTACAGGGATATTCTTACATGTATGTAGCACAGTAAGCTTTCTCTTGTTTCTGTCCTGGAAGGTTCTATGCAGCCCTGTGAAAGGATTACCACACATAAATAAGGTTGAGAAGAAATAAAGCGATTAGGTTTCATTCACAAGAAAGTAGCTTTCCTCAGCACGTAGAAGAATGTTAACGGAATTAGCAGAATTTGTTTTTTTACCTTATTTTCCCTCTTTAAATAATCTTACAAAATTCTTGTACATCCATGTAGAATCAGAAAAAAGCTGTTTTGATAGGTCCTGTGATAGTTGCCAAATGTATTTTAAAAGCAATATCTTCAAAAAAATATGCACTAAAATCATTATTAGTGTACTAGTGTATACAACAACATACACAACACAACGTACAATATTCCTACTAATTATAAAATATAACATTGTATTAAGTTAATAAATAACAAACATTTGTTAATTTCAAATTGTGCCTTTTTTTATCGTAACTGTGAAAATCGAAGGAGCGCAACATAACAGCACTACTACACATGGGTGAAAATCGAAGGTACACAAAACTGTAAATAAGCAACTTTTGCGAAAACTCTGGACATTGGTTTCACACTTATGCCTTGTGGTAACATCCAATCAGCAGTGTGTGTGTGCACTGCATTGGTGTGCATTGTGATAAAATGATCTGGGTAATCCCCACTGTTCATTCAAGAGAGGCAATGGATTGGTTACCATGACTCTTATATTTACTGATCCTCCACTCTGCCATCCTGAACAATATGATCCTCCCCACTGAGCACTGCCTCTTTTCCCCTGCACAGCCTGTTGTCTCTGCTGCTACAAGCAGGGAGAGCACAACAGGGAGATCAGTAGAGTACAGCAGGATGGAGCTGTTGGCCAGCACCAAGCAAGATGATTTGTGTTGGGCAGACTGACAGGTGGTGGCGGTAGCAGCAGGGGTTCACTTTGTGAAAGAATAGATATGATCAGTGGCTTGTCAGCCACTTATCATAGCTGTAAGGAAGGCTCAGTACATACCAGAAGACTAGTGCAGGCGCTCAAGCATGTGCACATACTATGGCTCGTGGCCCTGTGTACAGCATCTTAGGCAGACGTGCATTAGCCAGCAGGCGCACACACATTAGTGTTCATGCACACACATTAGTGGGCAGGTGCACCCGAATTAACATGAACTCTCGGTACCAAATAACCTATTTAAACAGATATGTGCCATGGACAGATTGCAGAGTGATCCTCAGGTTGTTCCTGACTACCTGCAGGCTGATTTGTAGAGGTGCATCAAAATTGAATTTTCAGATTGAAACTGAAATTGAAAATAAAGAAATTTCCGAAACTAGAAATTATTATTTTTTCAAACCTTTTTTCGAATTATTTTTTTAATATTTTATTTTTATTTTATTTTTTATACTTTACTGTCGGAAGCTCTGAGGAAATATCAGGGGTCTAAATGGACCCCTGATATTTCCCCTTTGAAATAGAAAAAGAGATTGAGTCCTCAATCTCTATTTCTGCAGCCCCTGTTATGAATGAAGAAGAAGCCTCTATATTGAGTGCTCCTGTCCATTCATAAACTGATGAGATAGTATCAGTTACTAAGTCCACAATCATGAATCAACAGGAAGTGATGTAGAGCACTTCCTGTTTATTCATAATTGGGGACACAATAAACATACTATTTCCTCAATTATTTACAAGCACTGAGCTATCAGCTGAGCGCTAAGCACTAAATCGCCACAGGAGGCAGAGCAGGCCTCCTGATAGTTTCTCTCATCCCCGCTGGTCGCTGCTCTGTGTCAGAGGGAGGAGAGAAACCAGTACTTTTGGCATTTTGCCCAAAGACACATCCCTACTGATTTGTTATCCTGCTTACCTGTGAACCACCCGGCCTGCCTTCTGACTTCTCTCTGAATCTCTGCCTACCCATTGTGACCTCATCCTGCTTACTAGATTTTGCCTCCTGCCCTGTACCTCTCTACCCTTCTTTTACCGACCTTGGCTTGTAACCCCCAACTACGCTTCCGTTACCTGCTCTCGTAACCCAGTACTCTGGCGTTTGGTTCTGGAGCCTCCAGTCATCTGGACCATTTACTCAAAGCCTCTATGCTGATCCAATCCAGCCTGCCACTTGTGCCACTCTGTGTCCTCACCCTCCCTTTCACCACATCCAGGGATCTCGGACCAGAGAAGCAAGAGAAGCCTTCAGCTCGTTCTCCACCTTGACAATAGCTGCACTTTTACTCAGCACAGTCAGGAAGACCATTTTGCTATAAATTCATTGTTGTTGAAGCATCCACAAGCTTATATCAGAGTGGGAAAGGCAGCCAACATATGGCATATGATGTGGCCAGCTGCAAGCAGTTCTGTTCCACCGTATCCCTTACGGCAGAGGCAGTGAAACAGTTTAAACAACCTGCGTCTAATCCAGTGTTTGTCAACTTTTTTTTAGTCATGGCACCCTTTAACAGTATGCAAAATCTCGAGGCACACCAGTCTAAAATGTCATAGATTTTAAGAGGGCAAAACAAATGGCAAACGCACTCATCAATTCGTAACCAGCTTTACAGCAAGGTGCACATGGAAGGGCTTTATACAGTACAACAGCAAAAAGTTTCCCAGCACACTCACCAGCCAGCATGCAAAAAAACTTGTCTCACCGCTAAGGTTAAAAACAGAGGTTTAGATACATGTCTTCTGCAGAAGATGTGAAAGCCGCACCGCCTCGCCAAGACACCTCCATATAGTGTGGTCCTAACTCTAAACTATGAGAATCTCCATCTTGAAGCACATGTGGCAAAAGATAAAATTGCAAAACAAATGGCAAACGCACTCATCAATTCGTTACCAGCTATACAGCAAGGTGCACATGGAAGGGCTTCAAACAGTAAAACAGCAAAAGGTTTCCAGGCACACTCACCAGCAGCATGCAAAAAAAAACTGTCTAACCACTAAGGTTAAAATGTTATATGCTGTTTCATATTTTGTTCCGGAAAATAATTATGTGTATGTTTGTAAATTATTACAAACGCTAGTTTAATCCCATGAATGAACAAGGGTTTCTTTTTTGTTTTTTTTTTGCTTTTGTGCAAAATTATATGTGAAATGTGAAAGCCGCACAGCAACGTCAAGGCACCTCCATATAGTGCGGTCCTAACTCTAAACTATGAGAGGCTCCATCTTGGAGCACATGGGGCAAAAGATTAAATTGGGCACATGTACGCACAAGGGACCCCGCACGTAACAACGGCAGCTGAGACCCCCCATGCGTCACTGCACCAAATCAGTCAAGCAAAACAAATGGCAAACACACTCATCAATTCGTTACCAGCTGTACAGCAAGGTGCACACGGAACAGCAAAAAGTTTCCAGGCACACTCACCAGCCAGCATGCAAAGAAACCTGTCTAACCACTAAGGTTAAAAGCAGAGGTTTAGATACACAGAGGTCTCAGCTGCCGTTGTGATGTGCGGGGTCCCTTGTGCGTACCTGTGCCTTTAAGGGATGTTGGGCTTCCTCTGACAAACCTGCACCCAATTTAATCTTTTGCCACATGTGCTCCAAGAGGGAGACTCTCATAGTTTAGGACCGCACCATATGAAGGTGCCTTGACGTGGCTGTGCGGCTTTCACATTTTCTGCAGAAGACGTGTATCTAAACCTCTGCTTTTAGATACCAGCAACACTCTTGGCTCCACTGTATAGAGAAGCAATGGATCCACCCATGGACAGCGGTGTTGTCAACCTGTATAGAGGGTAGTGTTGAATTAGATGAAGTAGTACATTTAGATAGACTTGACTACCAAATTAAATGTGAATTCCAGCTAACACTATTTAAGCAGATACTTCAAAAGTTTTTTTTTCCTTTTGGATCAGGTTTTTACATAACTATATAAAAACTAACCACTGTAAGCTCCCCTGTCAGTGTTAAATTGTTTGTTTCAACCCTCCCTGTCATTTTTGCTGGACATTTTGTTGTTTTAAAGGAAGTTGATAAATAACAGACTTACTGGTCGGATCAACAGGTGCAAATAAAGGGAAAAACTCCTAAAAAAGAAAACTAATGCAGCCACCACATCTAAGGATTGGTCAGCTGCAATATATTATATTTTTGAGTTTGAGTTTTCCAATGGAATAGTATAATTTTGCACAAAAGCAAAAAAAAAAAGAAACCCTTGTTCATTAATGGGATTAAACTAACGTTTGTAATAATTTACAAACATACACATGATAATTATTTTCCGGAACAAAATGTGAAACACCATATAACATAAATCCCACAGAGCATGATAAGCTGTTTTTTATCCTATTTTATTTAATTCTCTAACATGCTTTTCAGTATTGCAAACAGCGACTGTGAATCCGGCTGCTCTCACGATGAATTAAATGTTTTTTATGAAACACAGAAGTCGTTCAGTGCACAGTGGCTTGATACAAGTGAACACCTATAATCTAATTTGCCAAGGAAAGAGAGTTGGAGAGGAGACCTCTAGAGTACAGTGCAGGGGGAAGATCTCCAGTCTGAAGAGGCAGGCAGGAGGTTTATAAGAACTAGCTATCACTTTGGGAAGCTGAACTCTGATCTGCAGCTACATCTATCTCTGTGGAATACATTTCTTCCAGTGGTAAGCATTATTTATCTGGATGTTTGTTGTCATTGAGAAGTACTTGTATCCAGTGACCTGTATGTAATATACATTTGAACTTTTCAGCTGTCTTTTCAAGTGCTTCCATCTGCTTGGCATCTGCTTTACTTTGATTCTGTAGGAAATCAAAAGCAGCAATTTGTTCTACGAACCATAAACGTTACGTGGAATTAACACATATACAATGGAGGGGATTTGAGAAACAGATCAGCAATAAACCCTTTTTTATTTGCTACATGGGCTAGTATTATCTAGTCTGGGGACTTTTTGAAGAGTCAAGCTTCATTTGTCTGGAATATGTCTAACACTTTACAACATTTTTGGACTGTGATTTGCATTGTTGGATTCTTGTGGCACTTCACCAATGGAAGCTTTGTGAAGAATCATCTCCGATCAAGTTTTATACAGAGGAAACTAAGTGGCAGAGAAAAGCGTGAGATGCAGAGGGAGATCCTCTCCATTCTGGGGTTGCCTGGGAGACCCAGACCTGCAAGCGGTGGCCAGTTCCCATCTTCAGCACCCATGTTCATGCTGGACCTCTATCATGCTATGTGCAGCGAGGAAGAAGAAGATGGGGCACAAGGAGTATCACGAGCACTCTTTACCACTTTAAGCACCCAAAGCCCACCCTTGGGAGCAGTAATCAGTGAAGCTGACACCGTCATGAGTTTTGTCAATATGGGTAAGATCTATCTTTGTTTCCGTAAATAAAAACTATATATTTTCAACGCATGTTCATGCTCCTTTGCTTAAAAACATCCATTCATTATGGGTTTTTGCATGCGTTTGTGGGCTTATTTGTTGCTTTATGCTACAATACATATTAGGCGTGTTTAGAATGTTTTTCAATATTTTTTGCAAGAATGAGGATACAACCTGATTTTTCTGTTTACTGCAATTATTAAAGTTCATGCAATTAAAGGAAACTGGCAAGAGGAGAGATATGGAAGATTTAATTGCAGACCTTCTCATAATGCATGCTACTCACCCTGTAAAAAGCAAAGTGAAGTCTAAACTTTTGATCGACAGACTAGATCCAAGTTAGGGACTCAGAATGCCAATGAATCAGCCAGACAATGAGCATTTTCCAGAACAGACGTCAGCATTGGCAACTGCCATATTTCTCTCACAACAGGTTTCCTTTATATGCATTTGTGGTACCATTCATCCCTGCAGAACATTCCCAGACAGGATACTAAAGCCTGCCCATAGCCATAGCAAGCTTGAAGAAACATTGAAAACAACTGTACAATACTACAAAAAAAAAGATACAGTACTTTCCATGCACTTTGGTGCCATTTCTATTAAAGTGCAGGCCTTCATCCTGTGTCCATGGTTTAAATTATGTAAATGTGATTCATATACAGGTTTGGATTAAACTTTCTTGCCCCTTAGGTCTTACCTTATGTTCTCTTACCCCAGTCAACTGGCTAGTCTTAGTATCATGCCAACAAGATCAGATGTCATTGTCAGCAAGGCACACTGGGGTTGATTTACTAAAGGCAAATAGACTGTTCACTTCGCAAGGGAATGCTTACTTTGCAGGGGGAATTTCCCTAGGCATGCTAAATAAAGAGAAGCTCTGCTGACTTTCATCATCAAATCATGTGCAGTCAAAAATATATTTTTTTAGATTTGTTTTCCACATGATTGGATATTCTTTGCAAACTGAATTTTCACCACATTCACCAAGCCAAGAGAACATTTTTTTTATTGTACAAGCGAATGTGTACAATAGCAAAAATGAGTGTGGATGGGTATGTGCCCCCCTCTGGCAGTCCTGCTCCCCTAGGCCAATCTGCTTTTATTTTGCTCATCCTCATCAACATGTTATTAAAATGTTTTAATATAATCTTCCTGCTTTTATTCCATAATTTTAGACCCTCTGAAGTCATCACTGGGTCTCTTTGTTTCTTAACGCAATGCAGGCAGATCATGGCTGGTGGGAGAGGCTAGCAGGATGTTGTGCATAGCTTTGATGAGTAGATTTCAGACTGGAGTTGTGGGTGTCCCTAGGCAGGTAGGCTAGATGACACCCACATGTAATTCATAAAATTAAAAGAATGAAAGGTGGTTAAGAGACAGTAAGGCTGGGAAGGAAAGAGCTGGGTGTTGCTATATGTCCTCGCCCTAGTGGTCAGTAGAGAAGTGCTTTCTTTGGGTCACACATTACTATCTGACCATACAATCAACTTTACATTTTACCAAAAAACTCTGTAATATGAGGACCTACCTAATCTATTCAATTAATTCTTCCAATCAGAAAGGCCCTTGCACTACATAGCATAGCTGTTGGTAGATCGAAAGGCAATCAGACTGTATAGTGTATGGCCAGGTTTACACCCCTTGATGATGATCAATGCAGTTTGGAGATCAATCAAGTCTACTCAAGAAACCCCTACCAGTCTATGACATAAATATCAGCAAAAATAAATAATGCATTTATTAGAACAAATAATAGTAGTTTGTTTCCAGTATATCAGTACTGAATATCAGTTGATGAATATTTACCATTTATTGAGGTGAAAGCATAAAGTTGACATTTACAATAGTATTACAATTTGTGAACACTAGATTGAATAGGGTAATACAATTTCTGGACAATATTTAAGATTAGCTTAATTACAATGCAAGGCATATAGACACTTAGCTCAGTAAATAAGGTGAAGCCTTAGGTGTTCACTTTAATTCCCCAATATTGTACAAGAAAATCCAGTTTTTAACTTAATTTGTGCACAATTTGGTATTTGTAATTAATACATATTGATTATTAGGACTTTTGTTTATTTACAGTTCACTGGTTTCCGTGGTGCACTTTATAGCAATTTATCGTGCACTTTTGTACTACATTACATACACTATCTTGTATTTTTTTGCATTTTTCTGTGCTTAAAACTTCTGACTTTTGTCTTTTAGTTATTATTTGTAATTTGCTTTAAAAAAACATACATATATGAATTTATACTGATTTTAGTTAAAAAAAACCACATTCTTTTAACAACTATTTGTGTGTTCTATGTCATTTGCGTTATAAAACATACATAAATGAATTGATACTGATTTCAGTATAAATACATATAAACGGGTATTTTATTATAGATTTAGTTGTGTTATATAAGATGTCTTTTCTTGAAGAATTTTTAAAGAGTAATTAACACAACAAGACATTGTTACTGTTAAATACAGTATTGTGCAGTGTAATAATCTTGTAATTAGGAGATGCTGGACAGCCCTACTCTAATCATCAGAAACAAAATAGAGCACAAACCACAGCCATTTCTTTGATTAAATCGCTGCTTATGGGGTCCACATACCTCCCAAAGTCTTTCACATGGAAAAAAAAATGAGCTGTGTGTGACTTTTCTTCTTCTCGTAGAGGTATCATAGCTTTCAGTGTTGGGTTGGGCACACTGACTCCTAATAGACTCACACTGATTCCTAATAATCTCAGAAGAGAGGTAACAGGCAGCAAATGTGGTGCCCTATCTAATCAATATATTGATCAATCCTTTCCAGTTTAACTCTTCTGAAAAAGTATATACCCTCAGCCCAACTCTTCTTTTGTTCTTATTGGGAGGCATTTATTAACGCAGTTGTGTATCCAAAATATTATCTTTAATCTCTGGGTCTATTTTACAACCAAAGTGACAGTTGTAGTTTTGGGTGAGGTCAAAAAGCGACTGTAAACCCATTTTCTCTGTTGTGCTGCAACTGCAAGCACTTATTTAGCAATGTAATTCAACATCACAATTGTCTCAGACCTTAGAAGTGCAAATTTGTTCAGCACATACAGATATGCTCAATGAGTAATTTATTAACAAATTGCAAAATCAAGTGAATCTGCCCCTAACTTGGTAGAAATAAAAGAAGCAACAGAAAGGAATGCAGTGCACCATAATGCAGGTCCAACATTGCCTGTAAACTGCCATCTGTGCTACTCAGTTATAGTCTATGGGATTTTGTTGAACTGCATTTGAGGTGCGTTCCAAACGCATGTCAAACACATAGAAAAAACAACTGTTGACATGAACCCAACTAGCTATTCACCTACCCTTCCATATACAGTAGATTTAATATGCACAAGACATAAGTCTTGCCCACAGTGAATCTTTCTTTTAATTTGCTTCCCTGACTTAGTTCTATGACTCTTTCATAAACATAACATACTTCTTTATTTAGGAACGAATCACACTTTTGCATTGTACCACAATGCACATTATGTGCTACTCAGCCCTACACACTAAGGCTACGCAGCTCCCACACACGTGTTGCAGTGAACCACAACATAATAACAGACTACCATGCGTTGTGGTCCGTTATATCAGAAAAAATGCTGCATGTCCGTTTTGGTGCTTTGTCAGGCTATTTAAAATGAATGGGCTTCCTGAACGCAATGCACGTTGATACATGACACACTTGTTATGCAACTCAGAAGAATGGTAAAGTGTGACGGACCTTTAAATTTGGGCTAACCATAGACATGAGATTTTCATTGGAGGAAAATCTACTAAAAATCAACTACTAATCTTACTTCCAAAATATGTTTCTAGTATATGAATACTCATATGTCTATGCACATGACTGTGACCTGTGTGGACAAACCCTGGCTAACTTTTTTTTTTACTTCATGTTGAACTCACTGTAAGGCCGGGATCACACTATTGCATTGCGGTAATGCATGCATCATTTTGAATGGTACTCCATGGCGAGGCAATGCACTACCATGTGTTGTGTTCCCAGAAAAGCAAAACAAATGGCAAACGCACTCATCAATTTGTTACCAGCTTTACAGCAAGGTGCACATGGAAGGGCTTTAAACAGTAATAGCAAAAATTTTCCCAGCACACTCACCAGCCAGCATGCAAAAAAAAAACTTGTCTCACCACTAAGGTTAAAAACAGAGGTTTAGATACACGTCCTCTGCAGAAAATGTGAAAGCCGCACAGCCACGCCAAGGCCCCTCTATATAGTGCAGTCCTAACTCTAAACTATGAGAATCTCCTTCTTGGAGCACATGTGGCAAAAGATCAAATTGGGTGCAGGTTTTCTCAGGAGGAAGCCCAACCTCCCTTAAAGGACCAGACCAGAAAAGGGTCACGTGCAGTTTTGGCAGTGCTGGGTTTCATCATGAGACTGTACACCTATGTTCTCTTTTGCCCTGCAATTGTGTGTGGTGATGCACCTGGCCTAAATCTGCATCTATAGACTGAGATTAGATAAGTGATTCTGCAATGCCATATTATTTTAATCTTGAAAAAAGCATCAGCAAACCCCACAACACCCCG